TATTAATATGGAACATGCTAGATATGCTTTTTGGGAATTGCTTATTCTTAACTTTATGCATAAATACTATTTTCTGAGATCTCCTTCGTTCAGCTAATGGTTGCCGCCAACCAAGTTCATTCAGCATATCACTTATTCTTGTATCGTCACGGTTTCCCCGTAATTACTCTAGCTGCTCTATTTTGCATTTTCTGTAATTTATCTTGGAGGTAGACGCTACAGTTTTCCCAAACTAAACTTCAATAGTCAAAATAAGGCAGTACTATAGCCTTATAAACGTTTTCTAAAACTGTTGCCGGAACATATTTCTTTCTGCGACGTATTATTCCAATACCTTTTGAAGCCTTGTTAACTATGCTTTCGATCTGGTTTTTCCACGTTAATTGTTTATCGACAATTACACCTAGGGTTTTTGTACATTTTACCCTATTAATATTTGTTTCCCCAAGTTTTAATTCTTGTTCGTTTTCAATTTTGGCTAATCTTTGTCTAGACCCTTTTATCATGTATTCGGTTTTTTCTTTATTAAGAGTTAACCTGTTGGCCAGCAACCATTGATGAACTCTTTCTAAGTCTACATTTAATTTAGTTATGACTTCATCACTTGAACCACCATTTGTCGTTAAGTTTGTGTCGTCAGCGAACATACTAGTAGTCGAGTGCGAGAAACACCTCGGGAGATCATTTATGTAAACTAGAAATAACAACGGTCCTAGATTTGATCCCTGAGACACTCCGCATCTTATAGTATGTTTTCTTGACATGGTACGCTCAATTTTACATATTTGTGATCTATTGGACAGATACGACTTAAACCATTTTAAGGTAATTGGGCTAGACCCATAGAGATATAGTTTCCTAAGCAATATATCGTGATCAACACAATCAAAGGCTTTCTTCAGGTCCAAAAATATTACACCATTCAAGCACCCATTGTCCATATTGTTCAACCATTTGTTGGTAGCTTGAAGGAGCGATGATTGTGTTGAATGATTCTTTCGGAAACCTGATTGTTTACCTGTGAGTATCCCATTGGATTCCAGATATTTATTTATTTATTCTCAAAGATTTTGGAAATTGCCGAGAGTATTGAAATTGGTCTATAGTTATAGTACACTCTGTCTTGTTTCCCGACTTGAAAATAGGTGAGATCACTGCGGTTTTCATATCATCAGGAAAGATACCAGTTTTAATAGATTGGTTAAAGATATTAACCAAAGATGGCGCTATGATATCTGAAGAGTCCTTCAGCAGTTTTGGTGAGATTTTATCGTGTCCTGTTGCCTTAGAAACCTTTATAGTGGAAAGTAAATTAAATACTTTTTCAATTGAAACGGTATGAATTTCAAAAGAGGAATTCGCAGGGGTGGTAAAAGATTCTGGTGTTATGTTGGTTACAGGTAAAGCATCAGCCAGTTGAGTACCAACATTAATGAAAAATGTATTAAAGGCATCAGCAATCTGTTTAGGCTCGGTAACAGAGTGGTCATTCTTAACGTGGATCTCAGTGATGTTAGTTGTTTTAGAATTTTTGTTTGTCAATGTCCTAATTGTGTTCCACATTGTTTTAAGATTTTGATTATTTTCACTTAGGGTATTCATAAAGTATTTAGTTTTCGTGTTTTTAACGAGCTTGTTTACTTCATTTCTTGCTCTTTTATACGCTTCGTGCACATTCCTTGAGCCCAATTTAACGGCCTTTCTTTAAGATAATCTCTATTTTGCATACTTTTCTTAATATTTTCTGTAATCCAAGGAGCATACTCACTTCTAACTTTCCGTGTAATTGGTGGCGCATGTAGATCAGCAACCGCCAAAAATTTTGATTTCCACTCCTCCCAAAGAATGTTTGGGTTTGTAAGGTTTGATTGTATTTGGAAAATTTCAATTAAATCTGATCTAAAAGCATCAATTTCGAAATCATGGCCAGAAATTGCCGACATTGCTACTGAGCATGCTTGGACTATACAATCAAACATGGCCGCCACGCGGTAATAGAAATTATAGGAGTGTAAACAAAAAATTAAAAATATAGCTATAGGTATCCTCTATAACGAATTTGCACATCTGATTTATACTGTCTTGTGTTGACAATTTTTGGCTCTTTTCGGGTAATAGAAACTTTTCGGCAGACATATAGATCATGCTATGGTCACTTATTCCTATGTGTTCCACGCCCGAGTCAATAATCAGTTCTGGCTTGTTACTGAATGCCAAGTCTATTAACGTACTAGAAGTTTCGCTTATTCTCGTCGATTCTTTAATTAATTGTTCGTATTGAAATGTTTGAGCAAGATCAACGATTCTTTTTCTCTGAGGTGAAATCCTACGTTCTCCGAGATTGTTCCAATCACAGTTGAAATCTCCAATTGTGATAACTTCCTTATTTTCATAATCCATTTTTGTTGCTGCCGAAGGCAGCACACTATTCTTAACATGAAGTATTGCGTTTACGTGTGCCCAGTCTCTTTGGCCGAGTTATGTATAGCCGAACGAGAACTCGATTTTGTGCATGTACGAATGTTTGTACGGATGATCAGATTTATGACTTATTTTGACGTTACAGGAATTTAAAAAAATAACATACTCCAGATCGCGATTTGACTTTCCGAATACCCTTGTTGCACCTCACGAACACTACCATGGACCATGACAAATTGTAAACATGTTACATGTATGCCTCGACAGCCTCGTTGCCTGCTGTATAGCTGGCTTGCCGTAAATTTTATGTCTGGCTGTTTATCGAAATATTTTTGAAGGCAAGATGATGAACGTTTGATCACAAATAACAGTGTGTTTTGGTCGAAGTATTTTATTATTTAAACTGATTAAATTTTTAAGTGCAAGTCAGATAATTTTTCATTCGTATACAATTGTGTGTTACTGTGTTCCAATAGTATGATGTTCTGTCAGTATTATTTCATATTTATATGTTAACAATGGACATATCTCACAGATATATTTTTACAGACCGTCATACCTTTTACAAAAGTCGGTTGACATGTTATTACATTAAATGGTGGTATGAAGTTAATATATGCAGACAACAATCCACACTGTGTTGCTATGGGCTATTCCATTTAATATCCGTACCCCCCCCCCTGTCGAGGATCCCTGGAATTATTCAGGGGTAAAGTGTTTTGAGCTTGGAATTCTTCAGGGGTAAAGTGTTTTGAGCTTGGAATTCTTCAGGGGTAAAAAATTTTGAGCTTGGAATTGTTCAGGGGTAAAGGGTTTTGAGTTTGGAATTTTTCAGCGTAAAGGGTTTTGAGCTTGGAATTCTTCAGGAGTTAAAGGTTTTGAGCTTGGAATTCTTCAGGGGTAAAGGGTTTTGAGCTTGGAATTCTTCAGGGGTAAAGGGTTTTGAGCTTGGAATTCTTTAGGGGTAAAGGGTTTTGAGCTTGGAATTCTTCAGAGGTAAAGAGGTTTGAGATTGAAATTTTTCAGAGCTTCGAATTGTTCAGGGGTAAAGGGTTTTGAGTTTGGAATTCTTCAGGGGTAAAGGGTTTTGAGCTTGGAATTTTGGAATTCTTCGGGGGTGAAAGGTTTTGAGCTTGGAATTCTTCAGGGGTAAAGGGTTTTGAGCTTGGCATTTTGGAATTATTCAGGGGTAAAAGGTTTTGAGCTTGGAATTCTTCAGGGGTATAACCATGAAAAACATGTATCCTCGACAGGGGGTGTACGGATATTAAATGGAATAGCCCTATAGGACTATCTTTGACTTTGTGCATACAAGTCTTCATATAAACAAGTACCAGCCTACATTTATATATTGACCTGGCTGTCATGCACTACTGTACTAATGTATCAGTCACATCCAAGCATACCCATCACCCACCCCCCCCTCCCGGGGGGACAACTGGAATGTTTGGCTAAGAAGAGTAGGTTATCCAACTACCTGAAAATAAAGAGAATACATGAGAGAATGCCCTCTGTTAATATATCAAGTATTGTGCATCATACTCTAGCGCGTTTTGCTGTTGTCATGCTCTAGCGCATTCAGATTTTTAATGTTTGCGGCATGGTTTAAATTCATGCGTTTTTAAACAACAACTTGGTTTATATTTTATTATTATTATGAAGTTATTGGTGATCATAAAACCTCCAAATCCTTAATTTCAAATTCCCCACCCCCGGGCAAAGGTTTGAGTTTCAAATTCCCAACCCCTGGGGCGTGCTTTACAGGAAAATGCCCCGGGGGGGATGGCACGCTTGGATTTGACTGATGCGTAAAGGGTATACTATATTTTTTGATAATGCTCACAATTTCTTGTATTATATAGTTTTGCAGTTCTGACTGAGTACAATCTTAATCATTACAAATGAATGGTGTCATCAGAAGCTGACGTATGAAACAAAATTGTCAACAAATAGATTTTGTCTCCCAATCAAGCATCAGCAGATTGTTCAGTTGTTTTGCAGCCTTGAAGGTGCCATTATTGCATTAAAACGATAATTGGACAAAAAATGACTTAATGTTTCTATATATGAAATTGTTATTAAATTCTAACATGTCCAATGATCATTCAAGTATTATTATCGTTTATATATAATATGATTTTGTACAGTATTCAGTGGCAAGCTATAGCTACCATGGCAACTGGTTATGGCACGCCAATAAATCTGCATCTATTTGAATAATGCAATAATTAAAAGCTTGCATAGCATGACCTGTTGCTATGGCTAGCTTCACCACTGACAGTGTTATAATTATACATACAAAAGCAAGAAGTTATAAGCATTGAATGTATTCATATACACTGCCCATGCCAAGAAAGTAGAATTACAATATTTAGCTGACCTTCGACCTTGTGAAAGGTGTTTGATATTCAAATGGAACTTTTCTTACCGGCCTCCTAAACAAAAGCTAAAATGCTAGGCTAAACAAAAGTTCAAATGCTTGTTAACAGAACTCAAATATTGTAGAGAAGATCTTGTAGTGCAAGAAGATTATTTATTATTGCTAAATATTGCTGCTTGAACAACCTTTCGTTTACAGTTAACTTTAACCTATCTCTCGAAATTTGTTTTGCTGAATTGTGCACTGTGACTCATTTCAGTACATCGAAATCATCCCGCTTCATATCTCGTCCTGGCAAAGCGGGATCGTATAAACAGCCCCTTATTCAGCAAATTGCGCATACTGCCATCCCTTGGGGATGAGGCAGCATTTACCTTGCGATAGTAACTTCTAGTAATACACTCCTCGTAATCACTTAACAAATCAAGACTTGTACCCGGTGGTCTATACCATGTATTGATTAAAAACGACTTCGCTTTTGGCTTGAAAATTTCAACTGTGATTGATTCCAAATTTGCGTGATCTAAGTCTGGCCCTTAATTTATAGCTTATACAATTTCTAATATAAATCGCAACACCCCCGCCATTACGATTTCTATCTTTACGAATAACTTCGTATCCATTAACATTTACTTCATAATCTTGGATTGTACCGTCTAGCATTGTTTCACTTAAACATATTATATCAAACTTGCAGTCGTTATGACTATATATATATATCCTAAACTGATCTATATTTTAACTAAGCTTCTGATATTTAAATGAGATATCTTGAAGCCCTTCAGTTTATGTCGCTGTTGAGTTATACTAGATCTAGTTGTAGTGTTAGCAATTTTTTCTACTTCAATTGTTTGTTTAGATGATCCCAAATCAGCATATCTACCACTTTCACTTATCTTACTTATATTGTTCAAATTCTCAGGCCGGAGCGATATAATTTCAATTATGTTTCCTATCACTGTTCAAATATAATAGAATGTTCCTTGCTAAGGTTGCGTTCCTAGCCTGTTAAGATGAAGACCATATGTGTTTAAATGATTAACTCCAATATTTTTATGCCTAATGTAATTCCAGTTATTCAGGTTGCAATAAGTAAAAAGTTGTTTGTTTACTTCGTCAACTCGATCTTTAAGATTTGGCGAGTCAGTTCTTATTATCAACTCTGAAATCACAACTTTAGTTTGTGGACTCTCCTTCTTTATGATATTACATACCTTTAAGACGCCCTTTGACACTTCATTTGGATTTTTCTCTTTGAGAAAGTTACTCAAAAAATCATTAGAAATTCCAGGATGGGGGAGATAATAAAAAAAACGTGCAAAGAAAAATAATTAGGGGAAAATTTCTGTAGTCAATAATTCAGTGAAAAAATCTTGCACGCAAACGTCAACTTATTGGAATGTTTATTAATCATTCAAAAAAACGTTTTCGTGCACGAGATTTTCTTTAGAAATTGCCAACCCCCTCCTGGGATATCTAATGACCGCCCCCCTATTTCGTTCTACACAGCAGGTAAAATCTGCTAGCTCTCATCTTATTTGATGTTTGAGCGTAATTTTACTCAAGTGGGGTTCAATCATTGAACTGGGATCAAGTACAACAAAGAAACCATTTTTACATGGCTATCAAGGAATCTGATGTAAATGATTTTATTATAAAAGCCAATATAAAACAATTATAATAAACAATATAAAATCCGTCCTTGACACCAGACCCCTGGCTCACACGTGACGTCAAATGAAACCCGAGAATACGTCATTAA